ATTAATTTTAGTTGCTTAAATAATATGGGTTTTAAAAATAATTAGTTCTATACTTTTGTACTTGTAATAAATTACATGGAAAAAATATAATACAAAAGATTATAAAAATTTATACAATTTTTATTAAAAAAAATTAAGAAATTTTAAATATTTTGAGTAATTTTTGGTATATTTTTAAATTAAAAAATATTTTGATTTATTAAGTCTAGTAGAAATTATTGTAAATAGAAAGAAAATGATGAAATTTTAAAAAAAAATTGAAGGACAAGTTTACAAATAAAGATTACAAAGATTCATTTTTTTATGAGTTTTCTAAAAGATATGTTAATAATTGGAGTTTTTGTATATGTTTAAAAAGAAAATTTAAGAGACATGATTTAATTATTGCATATACAATTTGAAAACACATATAATGAAGGATATGTAGAATTAGACAATAATTCTTTAAGGGAGCCCTTGAAAATGCAAAAGATTAAGTTCTTCATTATGAAAGAATATACAGCTGAGAAGATATTTATTAGTAAATATTTATATATTAGTAATAATTATAAAAATCTTTTTTTCTTTAATAAATATAAGAATACTCCAAAATTTGTATACCAATTCGTATCCTTGTCATAGAAAACAAATAGTTTATTATAACAAAAAAAAATTAAAGAACCAACCATATTTTTTTAATATGATAATGTTTTATTGAAGTTTTCTTTAAAAAAAAGTTACAAATCTTATTCTATTTAGAAAATATCTATATAAAATCATCTCTTAGATAAAAAGTAATAATATTAATAGTATTTGTTTTTTATGATAATTCTTTGAAAGAAAATTTCTAATTAAACAAACTTACATATATTTTAAAATCTGAAATATATAATCTTGTATCATATATATATATATATATATATATAGAGAGAGAGAGAGAGAGAGAGAGAAAGAGAGAGAGAGAGAGAGAGAGAGAGAGAGAGAGAAATATATCTATATAGATAAAATAAAAATATAACATATGTAAAGCTAAACATTCAAAATAAATTAAATTATATTGTATACAAATGAATTTAAAATTTAAGGAAAGAATATAAATATATATCATAATAGAAATTTATTAAATAAATTATTTTGATTCAATTATCTGATTAGAAAGTATTTTACCAAAATCATAATTGATATTTATCTAAACATGAATATAATTAATAAGGTCTTGTTTAAAAGATTTTACACTAGTTGAAATTGATAGTAATTATAATGTCAAATAGAAACTAGTTTGAAGATTATATACTTTTGATTTTGTCTTGAGCAATCATTTCAAGAATTCCTTGATTTGATATTAAAAATTTTCAAAAGAAATATAAGTATCCAAAAAAAAATTAATTATATAAAGAAAAAAAAAAATTCTATTTCTAATCTACATTAGGATTCCTTTCACTATTTCTTGTGACAACCTCTGCTTGAGATAGCAAATCAAGTCTTTCCTTATCAAGGACATGAATCTCAAAGAAAGAGAATCCTCAATACATCCTTTTATCACTGAAGAGAACTAAAAAGTCTCTCAAAAGGTGATGTAATATTAACTAGAATGGCTATTGCCAAAAACAAAAAGACAAGAAAGTCTTGAAACAAGACTAAGACTAGAAAGGCATTGACAAGAGTGAAGAAGGCTTCACTCTTGTCTCCATATATACTATCTAACTAAGAGTTATGTGGCGATGTCCTATATGACCTCCAACTTATGTTGACTTTGTTAGCCACATGTCTTATCTTGTAAGGCAAGTTATTTATGTATGCGCCACGTAGTTGACTTGTTCCACAAGCTACTACATGGAGATAGCTTGTTCCACAAGCTACCAATACATGGTTAGCTTTTTTGCCAAGTTTCTAACCTACAAACACATCTAAAGTCAAAACCATGTCTATGAAGCTCCTAGGAAGCTTTTCTAGAAGACTTTATGAAATTATTCTATATTTACTTACTTCTACTTAATCATATAAGTAACTATTGAGGTAAATATATATGTCTGTGACATCCCTTCATACATTTGAAATAAGATGTATTTTCTTATGATATATATATATATATATATATATATATATATATATATATATATTTAAAAATTAATTACAAATATACTGAAAAATTAAGAAAACATGTGATAGATAATTTAATAATAAATTTATTAAAACTTTCAACATATTATTATTTTTAGTTTTTATAATTTGAATTTCATAGTTTAATACTTAATAAAGAGGAAAAATTAACATAAATTTATTCATAATATAATAAATTATAATTTATTTTTTACTTCAATTTATTTCAATAGATCAATTCTATTGAAATTATTTACATAAACAAATAATGATTAAATAAAGTACACTTATAAATTAAAAGTTATAGCTACTAGTTATTTATGATGTTAAGACAAATAATGACATATGCACTAAATCAAAGAGATAAGTAGTAATAATAATATGTATTGTAAATAGCTCCAAACATCATGTAAAGTGTATGACAACCAAACTAAGACTTTGAAATTTTATAGGTATTTTGTTATTTTATTTTTTAAAAAAAAATTAAAGTATTATTAGATATGTATTATTTTATTTTGTTTTTTAATAATATTCTTTTTATCATTAAAATTTAAATTTTTGTTATAAAATCAAACAATATATTATTTTACAATAAATCAAAATTAGTTTTGACTCTATTTTTGAATAATCAATTCTTAACAAAATATATCTGATTAAACATGGAAAAAACTAAAAATGGTATCAAAAGTTATTAAATGTATGTTGTAGAATATTGTAATTTGTAGTATTTCTACTAATTTTAGTGTGCTTATCAAATCCATTACAAACCGAATTTAGGGGCATGTGACAACCTCTACATTGGAATATAGATGCATTCCTAAGTCTTACTTTTTGCTTTTTTTAAGGACCTCAAACACTCAAAGTGTGATTAATACGTTAAAATATCCATATTTTTGTAATTGAACTTCTTAAAAATCTTTAGAAGATTTGAACATCTTGTATTAAAATGTTGTTAATTTAAAAACTTATGCTTGACTTTAATTTATAGTTAAAAGTTTGTAAGACAACTCTCAAGATAGTGAGAACATATGTACTTTAAGTAAAAATTACATCTTTTAGGAATAAACTTGTGAACTTTTTAGAATATAACAACTTAAATAAATGATATATATTTTTTATATTTTGGATGGATCAATATGTACATGATTACTATTGCACGGCATCTTTAAAATTTCTTTATTGAAGAATAAATATTACAATGTGGTAAGTGTGAAATGAGTATGAACACAATAACAAATAGTTTTTAGACTCTTGAAATATCACCAGTAAAAATCTTATGGAAGAAATTATACAAGCTATTTAAAATTAATTTGATTGTACAGTAGATTATAAAAACTAAACTTAGACAAGAACATTTGTGGTTTATAAAATTATATAGTAGCTTCTGGATACATGTTGCATATTTAAATAATAAAATTATACTAAAAATATTTAATAATTATTATTATATTTTTATTTAAACATGTACATAGTTTGAAATTTTAAAACAAGAGTGTTTTAATTTCAATTTTAGACATAAAAAATATTCAAAAAAGTGGTGTTATTTTTAAACTGAATAAAATCATTTAAAAAAAATCAAATCAAGTATAAATTTATAAAAAAATAAATAAGATATTTTAATTTCCTTCATTAAATTTTGTTTCATGTATGATTGATGATTTTATAAATTACATTCATACAATCTTTCCCCACTTCTAAACAATTTTATACACAAAAATATTCGGTTATTCAAATATAAAGACTGGATTGCATTAAATAAGAGCTAATACAGGTTTAGATGGTGATTTATGTGTACAAGATTAATATCTACAAAAATGGTTTAAATGTATTTGAAAATGTGATTAAATTTATTTTCTTTAAATGTACATATTTTATGTATTAAGAAGATACTTTACAACTATGTAACATAGTTTAGAATAGCTCACAGGCAAGTATTGATTCTTTATTATTCTAAGTTTAATAATAAAATAAAATGAGATTAGATGAGACTGTATATAAAAATATATGTATATACGATTACTTTCATATAAAAGTTTCAAAGTTTGACTCAAGGTATTATCTTTATATTATTAGTATTATTATTATCATTATAACTATTATTATTTGATATATATATATATATATATATATATATATCAAATCAATCATATAATCTATAAATTTATTTTCAAAAACTGTTCATGATATATTCATATTTTTAAAGAAAAAAGAAAAAGAAGATAAAATAGCTAATAACTTAAAGCTTTTGCTTTGGAAGGTATCTAGAGAAAGCTCTTTATTAATTGAATCTATGAAAAAACAAAGGTTTACTATTATATTGCAATACTTTTCTATGCATGTCATGTGCATATTCAATAATATATTTACACATATAATTTGAAAATTTTATAACACAATTAAATTTAGTACCTCAGCTATTAACCATAAGATTTCACATCTTTTATTTTTTTGTAATCATTATTGTGATGCACTGCATTACCTATATACTTATTAATCACTTATCATTTATATGTGGAAATGTTTGCTTTTTTATTTTTAATCATGCAGGATTTAATATGGAAAATTCACTGAATATTACTTTCTTTCAATGAAATATATTATTTTATTTTTATAGATATATTGCAAAAAATAATCAAACAACAAGTAAAAATGCAGCCGAGGCATCCAAACAAAACAGCACATTAAATTGGCAGCAATAACAGTTAAAAAATAGATATCACAAATTTTCATTCATCTCTTTTGCGATTGGCAATAGAAAAAAAATAAAAAAAAAATAAATAAAAGAAAAGAAAAATGAAACCGAAAAGCTCAAAGGAACCAAGGAAAAGAAAATTAATAGGGTTTAGGGTTCATCCATCCAGGTGAGGTGGGGTTCAGGCTAAAACCCTAGCTAAAACCCTAGTTACGTCTGGTGAAACCCTAATTTCAGACCCACAAGCTTCGGTGTTGCTGAAAGTTGGAAGAATGTGTTGCTGCTGGAGGATTGGTTCCTCCTCCACCTCCTCCTCTTCTTCTTCGTCACTTTCTTCCTATTCCTCTTTTCTTTTTTATATTTTTTATGTTTATTTCCGCTGTCAAGTGTAACATGAGAATTGTTGATGGGAGGTTGTAGACTTCAGGATTAGTACGGGAGAGAGAGGGAGAGCGAGGAAGAGACAGAGAGAGAGAGAGAGAGAGCGAGGAAGAGACAGAGAGAGAGAGAGAGAGAGAGAGAGGGAATTGATTGAAAATGGTGAATAGAGGAGGTGCCAATTTGGTGAAGAGGGCGCCTGCGTTCTCGAGGGATGGCAAGAGGTTGCTTGTGTGCACGGCGTGCACTGTGACTGTGTACAGCGTGCAGACAGGCGAGGTTTTGACCGTGTTGAAGGGGCACACAGGGGTTGTAACCAGTGTGGTGGTAGTGCCGGTAGCATCGATATGCCATTGCTGGACTGCGGGGATGGATGGAACCGCCCGGTTTTGGGACTTTGCTGCTGGGGCTTTGATCAGGACTGTAGAGGTCGGGCATCCGATTGTGTCTATGGTTATACCCGCGCTGTGTACTCCGTGGGGGGTGGAGGAAAAACCACAGGACAAGAAGAGGCCTTCAATTGCGTTCATGTCTGTCGGCTGGAAGAAGGAGGTCAGTGGTGATCATGCTGTGGGGATCAATGGTGTTTTTCTTGTGTTGAAATGGAATTTTGATTAATCAGTTTTATAATCTTCTGTCGGGTATGAACTCTGAAAGCGTGTGGAGTATGTTCTGCAGGGAAAGGAGGAGGATGGGATGCTAGGTCGGGTGATTAGCTATGACCTTGCAACTGGACAACAAATAAAAGCACACTTGGGGAAGACAGAAGTACCTCGACCTCTATTCGTGAGTCCTGGAGGTGGCTTGATTGGCATGACAGATGTTAATAGAGTGTGGATATGGATGGTGCCACAGAATGGTTTTAAGGATGGAAGAACAGTTCCCAACCTAAGATTGCACCACACAAAACTTATGACTATTCTTGCGTTTGATTCCTCGGAAACTAGGGTAGCTGCAGGAGACGTAACTGGTCGTATTCTGATTTGGGAGAATGTCGGTGATAGGGCATTCGCATCCATTGCTGATGGAGTTGAGAGGACAGAGAAAAAATCATCGCTGAAGGCCATTGGGGGAGGAGATAAGAGGCAGGCCTCGGGAGGTGTTCGAAAAAGAGATGACGCAGCAGCTTTGACAACGTATCATTGGCATGCAAGCGAAGTGAAGTCTCTTGTGTTTACCGTCGATGGGGTGTATCTCATGTCCGGTGGAATGGAAGGAGTGCTGGTAATGTGGCAGCTGGAAACAGGGAAGCGCAATTATCTACCACGGCTAGGGGGACCTTTGGCCGCTATCTCACCTTCCATACATCCATCTCTGTATGCCCTCGCGTGTGAGGATAACTCAGTTAAGCTGTTGAACATTGGTACCATGGAAGTTGAAAGACACATACAAGGAATTTTTCCATCTTTCCCAACCCCGAAGTCGTTGAAGCTGCCTCCCTTAATGGTCTCTATTGACCCGGCAGAAGGAAATATTGTGATAGCTACTCACAATCTGTCGCTGCAGTTTTATGATATTGCTAGTGACAAGCATATTGCTGAAGTGCAGGTCACTCCACGTAATTACGTAATTGGTAGTCGTGATGAGATGGGAGATGATGGGCCTTCCACTTGTGTTACTCACGTAGCCTTCTCAGCGGATGGGTCGTGTTTGGCAACCGTTGACTTACGTATTGCACAGCAAGGCATAGGTGGTGGCGCTTGCCTAAAATTTTGGGAGCGACAACCTGGAAAGATCAGATTTACTGTGAATACGCTGATTGATGAGCCCCATGGTTAGTATGTTGTGATGTGCAAACATATTAGGCGGTATTAGTCAATTAGCTCCTTTGCAACTGAGTTTTGCTCAAGAAGCTCTGCCCGTATTTTATTTTCGAGAGAGAGAGAGAGAGAGAGAGAGAGTCTAAGACAGTTGAGTTTCATGATGGTTGAATTTCTAGGGCTTCGAAACGAAGATTTAGTTGTAAAACCGTTCTGTTTATTTAAAAAAAATTAATTTTTTGTTTTTTCGTTTGTGCAGATATATCCGCTCTCTCATTTCACCCATCTGAGCTAATGGCTGTGACCTGCTCTGACACGAATTTTAAAGTGTGGGTGCCACAAGCCCGAAGATCTTCCAAATCTAGTTGGAGGTGTCGTTCAGTGGGAACTTACAGGGGACGACGCATGCTAGCAGCATCATTTTCGCCGGATGGAAGCCTTCTAGCAGTTGCAGCTTCGGAGTTGGTAACACTATGGAATCCAGCCACGAATAGTTTGGTTAGAGTGCTGTCTAATACGTTCACTTCCTCCACGCATCCACTATCCCCTATCCATCACTTGGCATTTGTGAAACAATCAAATTGCTTGGTCACAGGCTCTTCACATTTCAGATCCCTGCTGACTGTATGGGATCTGTCGACTCTCTCAGTGCGCTGGTCTCTGTCAACCAGCGTGGAGTCCCTGACTGTAGACCCTGTTCAAGCGAATTTTGCTGTGTTGATTGGTCCCTCGCGTGCTGATCCTGGGGATCGAGGTAGTTCTCTGCATTCTGATTTTCTCGCGCTAAGTTCGTTAATATGTTCAGCAATGAATGCACTTGTGAAGTTCTATCTTTCCTGTTTCTTCCTTGTGAATATGACGTTTTGTGTACTTGTTTTCCTTGTTATAATTGTTGGACTAATTCATTGGAGTGTATGCAGAATGGACTCCATGGAACAAGGATGGCGTCATAGCCTTGTTTGATGTTCAAACGCCAACGCCACTGCAATTCTGGACAGTGCGTGATGCGTTCAATGGTGTCCTCATGTTCAACCCCGTCCCACAATCGTTGGCTGAAACCGCTACTTCTGGTAATGAGGAAAGAAATAACAGCATGATGGTTGACTCAATGGTACCCTCTAAAAGGAAACTTACTTATATCACCGGGAGTCGGGAGTTCGTTGTCTTCAATCCATATCAAACAGATGAGGAACAACCTGAACAAGAACATTCAGTAGTTAGGAATGTAGCGGAGCCTGTGGATGTCTCTTCAGGTTTCACTGCTCTTTATGGCAAGGCAGTGCAACCAAAGAAGAACCTAGATGCTCCTGTAGAGGTCCTTAGCGCTCTAAGTAGAGCTCCATGGGGAACCTTGCTAGATGGGCCCTCTCATGTGCTTCCGTCCTTAAGTGTAGTAGGTATTCCTTTCATGGACTCGCTCATGAAAAAGCGTACAGAACAGACATAGACTTATGTAGTGCAGGATCTCGTCTTCTAGGATTTATATTTTCTTAAGGAAGTTAAAATTAGCACAACATTGGGAACGGATTTCATTCAAAGGACTCGTAGTATTTCTGTCATTCTACTTTGTTCTGGTCATGTTCTGGAACTTGAAACAGGCCCGTCAAAGCCAGTGATCAAAATCTAGTTGGCTGTGCCCGTACTGGCTTCTGGATGCGTCTGTCCTCTAAACAAAGAATTCCACTCAATTATGGTTCAGCTCGTGTCAGAATTATACTTGGTAGACCTCACATTCTATGGTTCTCATCCATGGCGTCAATGTATGTAACAAAATTCACGGGGCAGTCGATCCCAGCCGAAACCTGAACTATTCCACCAATTGAAATAATTGGTATATTACAACAAAGATATCTGACTCTAAATTATATAAAAAATTTATATACTTTAAAAAACTAATATTTTTTCTATAAAAAAAGCTATATATATATATATATATATATATATTCTTAAGATATTTTACATATATATATATATATATATATAAATAAAAATAAAAATGATAAAAAATAAATAACTTAAGAAAAAAATTGAAACATGTAAATTTCTTGCAATTCAAAAGTTATAGTTTTTCAAAAAACCTTAAGATCTTTAATTCCAATTTTTTACATTATTAGAATCTAATTTATAAGATTTTTCAATTTGACATCATTACCAAATGAATTAGGAAATCTTAATTTTTTTACTTCTCTTAGTATAAACAAGTGTTCAAGGTTGACATCATTGCTAAATGATTTGAAAAAGCTTACATCTTTGGCTTGTCTTAGTATAAATAAGTGTTTAAGGTTGACATCATTGCCCAATAAATTAGGAAAACTTACATCTTTAGTTCATCTTAATATAAATGAGTGTTCAATGTTGACATCATTGCCAAATGAATCAAAAAACCTTGAATCTTTGACTCATCTTAGTATGAAGATGTGCTCAAGTTTGACATTATTGCCAAAAGAATTAGAAAATATTTTATCTTGACTCATCTTGATTTAAAAGAATGTTCACGCTTAAAATCATTGCCTTAAGAATTAATAAATCTTACAACTTTGATTCATCTTAATATAAATGAGTATTCAAGTCTAATTTTATAGCTTAAAGAAATAAAAAAAATCCTACATCTTTTATGCATTTTGCATTAAATACATGCTATAATTTAACATCATTGCCAAATAAATTAAAAAACCTTACATCTTTAGTGCATCTTAATACAATTTCTTTCTCAAGTTTGACTTTAGGGTGAAAGGAATTAGAAATCCTTATATCATTGACTAATCTTGATATCATATAGTATTAAGAATTAAAACTAGCTTTAATAAAAGTAAAAAGATTTTTTTATTACTAATCCAACTTGACTTGAAAGAATGTTCAAAGTTAAAATCATTGCCAAATGAATTGAAAAACTATACAAAATGTCTTATAAGTATTTGGATACAATTGTGGTATAAAAATGTCTAATTTCATAAAATTAGTATAAATATTTTACATTTTAAAAATCTAGTAATTTATTGGAAAAAATTCCAATAATCTAATAGCAACTAATCATTCTTACTATCATTTATACAAGACTTTGATATACATATTTGACTATTTTATGATTCAAATAAACATATATTAGGAATAAAATTTATATATATGCACTTATAAATTGGATTAGAAAATATTTAAAAATATTTTCAATAATTTTTTTTCTTGTCAATATTAAATTCAATATTGCAATTTGAATTTTATTTTTTTGAATTAAAAAAATATTAAGACTAGAATTATATAATAGATTTTTTTTAAATAAATATTTATTATGTTTATCTTGCTTTCACTAGGCAAAAATTGTAATTATTATCAAGTGTACTTTTTTAGCAACTAAATATTATAATTCCTAAAGTGGAGGGATTTTGAAATTTTATTACTACATATAATTATGCAAAGATGTATTGCAAATGCATAACAATATACATATCTTGGACCAACTTAGTAAAATTTGTGATGCATATATCACTATAAAATATGTTCTTACCATGTATTATAAGTATGGACTTGGTTCAATTAATCTTAAGTTAATATTATTCTAAATTATTTTTTTTGTATTATCTTATTATGCCCAAAAATAATCATATACAATTTCCACCAATATAGCCTTCAACTATCTTTTAAATTATTATTCATGTAGCAACTGTATAATGATTAACAATAAAAGAAATATTTTTTTGTTACAAATATATCACTTAGATAGGATAAGATTTCTAGAATTTAAAGAAATAAAATAGAAGAGATTCACTTTATATCACAAACAAGGAGCTACAATAAGATACAAGAACAAGACCAAAAGATTCAAGTTGAGCCTTAGAGATTGCATTATTAAGACTAAGGATCCCCTCAACTTCAACTCCTATATATATTAGGTACAAAGAAGCTCCTTAAGAAGTTTTTTTGATACTAGGCGGTGAAGCAAGTCTCTAACAACCTTCCACAACCATCTAAGATTCATTAGGACCTTCTAAGTCCTTTTAAAACCTTCTTGGAATCTACTAGAATCTATTAGAGACTTTTTAGAATCATTAGGAACCTTCTAAAATCGTTTAGGACTTGATGGAATCTTTTGGAACATTTTAGAACCCTCTAAAATCTACTTTCTTTATATGTCCATGAAATTTGTATACTATAAATATTGATAGTAATTTATTGATGTCTTGGCACAATGTTGGATTGAGTGTTGTTTTTGGCTCTAATTGAATGTTGTTACACTTGATAGTGTGCCTCGGTTCTCGTTGGTAATACACATATGTACCAAACATTCTTTTAGTTGAACTTCAATGAAACCAAGATACCTTTGCCATTAAATGAGGATATTGTCAAGTGGGACCAAGAGACTTAGAGGATAAGACACAGACTGTGAAGCTGCCTGAAGGGATAAAGTTTTACAATCTCTACTGCATATCACATGATACCTTCCATCATATGGCGTTAGCTTTGTAATCTCCTTTAGATTGAATCAAGTGAATTCCAACGTATATCAATAATTGCGCCTTTACATATGCTCTATCTAAATATCAGTTTGTGTGTGTTATTCCCTCAACTGGAATCTAACAAACAATTTGTTCTTAATCTTTCAGCTACGGTACCGACAAATCGTCTCTGCAGGAATTAACCGAAACTTTAAATTTAGTTACTTTCCTCATAATTTTCATAAGTTTGTACTACTTGTATTGGTCCACCTTTAATCAAAATCTGGGAAGAAATAGTGTAACTGTCGAAAGTTTCATGCAAGAAGCTTTCGCTTCGTAATTCATTGATCTTACACTTAGTACAAGCTGCAATAATAGATTGCGGTGTCTTATGTTAGTGCTCAGACATGAATTCTTTAAGCTGAACTGATCTTTTTGTAATCCAGCACTGCTTAATGTAAACACAATCTGCTGGTAAACAGGCTGAGTTTGCATGCGTCGATGGAGACGGTACTATTCTAGTGGAATCTGCAATGGTAAATCATTTGTGTTGTTGGAAGCTATTTAGTACAAAAGTTTGTTAACCACGTCAAAAGTGACTGACTACAATATGGATGATATTCTTAGGTTTGAATTGACCTGCGTTAATTGTTTTGATTGAGTCTTCTATTAAAGAAGGCTCTGCAAACTAGTTGAGCTTAACATAACCAACCTAATGAAAATATTCTAATGAACTGTATAGTTTACATTCTACATCAAGCGTACCACAAACTTGTGGATAATACTACTTTCACATAAATAATTGTTTCACACTTCGTACGCGTAATTTATTTCTGTTTTCTAGGATTCATTGTATTGCAATCACGCGCGTGTTCAGACTAATACCGAGTCAAGAGTAGGAACACCTGCTGACCACTGGGACATCCTTTTGGATGAACACTTTTTTCATATTATCAAATACTACTTGGAAGTGGGTAGTGCAGATCTAGAAATAGATTATGTCAAAGTATCCAGAAGATCTTCCGAGTTTGATATCAACTGAGAGAAAAGTGTTCTAGTGGCTGATATCAACAGGACTGAGGACAGTTTGAAACTGCTTTCAAAAGAAGTTTACACTGCTAGTGCGGAAATTGGTATTACTTCTCTCTTGCACCTCGATAATGCTAGACTTTTGTATTACATTTATTCCGCTGTATGGTAGGAGTCTTATGTCACACCAGGCTGGGGCCAAAATTTTTCTCTTACTTCTTGGCAACCTCGCTTTGTCGATGTGAAATTGACATCAACTTGAGTAGATAAATGTCTTGGCAGATTCAGGTTCAGGTTCAGCTAGAGACATTCAAGCACAAGCACATGCACAAATCCATCATAAGGAAGGCCCAACCAATGAATATGAGTTTCAACTTTCAGCCATCTGTGTTTCCCAAGAATTGGACAAAAAAGAAATGGAAGATGATCCTGATCAAATTGTGGTTGTTTCATCTGAGGAAGCTAGAGCCGCGACTTTAAAGAATGATTGAATTGTCTCTGATAAGACATGATAAGACGCATTCCTGAAGGTACCAGTGCAAATACTAGAAAGTGGGTCAAGGCTATTTCATAAGAAATGTAGAGCCCTTGCACTTGGATGCAGAGTCCACTGAATGAAGTACCTTCTCTACAACCCCAAACTATGTCCCCCTCTTAAAGCTGTGCCAGTGGCTCTCGAACATTCTGAGCGTAAGCTTTCCCCTACGGCAAAGGATTGTACATACATTGCAAAGCTATGGCAATACTAAAGATGTGGGAATTAAGCTAGTTGTGGGTCATCGCTTTCAATCAACTAAACCTAATAGGAATTGACGCTGATTTTGCAACATAGATTTTCCTCGATGTCTCTATATGATCCATAGAAGCGTTTAAAGTAATTAAAATGTTGCTTTGTAGGGTGTGATTCATTAAACAACTTCTAGATATGTCTAGCCCATGGAGATCAAGGAAGGACACAGGAATCAACTTTAGTCAGTACTCAAGGATTCGTTTCTTTTCTTTTCTTTTCTTCTTCTGTTTCTGGACAATTGGGCTCTTTGATGTTATCCTCCTTTTTAGAGGCCCTACTTTTTATTTGTTGCTAGGCATGTTGGCTGAAAGGAAATGTAAACCTGAGCTCTATAAATCACAGCTCACTAATTTGTTACAAGTTCTTTGTCGTATTATTTGTGCTTGTATTATATCTAAAGATGATTTCTTTCAAATGTTAGTTTTGGTTAATTTTTGGTTATTCTTTAA